TCCGATTGAGTTATATCATCAATCTCGTTGTCTTCAAGTTGTTTGCCTTTACCTTTGTTTTTCGCTTTCGAGGACGATGATTCACCGTTGTTCTGGCATACGAATAAACAACATATTAGTTACAATCAATTCGATAAACTATTACGCTTGAATTCTGTGAATTAGCTTACTATAGTCTCTGCCATCGCTGTAAAAATCGATATCAAAAAGCTAAGCGATTGTGGTTAAAGTGTTGATGTCGCACGGCTGTATAATTAACCAATCAATAGATTTGGTGACGTACTCGCTCGTACATAACAACGTCATAAAGCATGCATATTGACTACCGTCCATATCACTATTAATATACATTGTTCTAGTTAGATTTATATTGCATTAGATCCTACAAAGCATTATGAATATTTTATTCAGAAATATTATAGCAATATCTTTGCCGTTTATATACAGTCTAGCATAAAAATGCGTTAAAGTATAACCCATCCAATAAAAGAAATATGGACAACTTTAACACTGTCAGTTCTATTTTCGCCTTCTTATGGAACCGATGTATTATCGAGATTACAAATGGTAACTGGCGAAAGCTAGCTATCTTCACATTACAGACTGTATTCTCCGATTACAGCCGAAGCTCGTTATGATAGAAAGTTTGGTATAACCCATAAGCACTATTATTTAATTGTTACAAATTATGACAGAACGAGCCTTGACTGTAGTCGTATTTCAGAGTATCAAAAATGCGAATACCAATGATTAGACTGAACATAAAGAATGACAAGTTGTATCACTGACAATGGTAATAGTGAGTCCTTTCACAATTTCTATCCGCCGTGTTGATATTTACAAGATACGTCAATAGCACTGTATTACTATACATTCTTTCTCTGGAGGTACGGGTTAATAGCATTATTATTGTTTATCGGAAAAGGCAAGCAACAATAACATTACCCGAGCCATCCAAAGGTCGCGCATTGTGGGAAAAAAAAGATCCCGAGGTCCATACGTCCACCACATCATACTGATGGCTAAATTATGTTACACCATAAACACACCAACTCCCACACACTTTGTTTCGCCCTATTTTACACAATTTCAGAACTTTCCCCAAAACTATAATGGCAGACCTCGAAGAAAATCCCTTTGCAGACGCCACTCCCATAAAACCCTCATATCCCTCCGACGACTTATCTTCTAATGAAAGCGAAGGCTTATCACAAATTGACCAAGTGCAACCGTCCGCTAATGCATTCGACACCCAACAACGCGAGAAGACACATTTCTGTTGCGAGATTGATAGGATATTACATGCAGGGGATTTTCACATCGCAGTTAGTAACGCACAGAAGACCAGTGACGGGGGTGGAAGCTCCTACATTACGTATTCAATAAGACTTGTCGTAAGGGCGATTTATTGATATTTTGTTCGAGAAGTAGGGATAAGGATAGTGTTGAGCGTATAACATGGGAAATCTCTCTATGTGGGTGGTTTCAAATATAGACATAAGGATTATCCTCGTGGTGCAATACACGTTCCCGTATAGAGTTGTAATTATAATACACTGCCATCAAAGACTCTTATTCATATGCAATTGATTATGTAGCTTTTCTCTCACTCTTTCTCGCTTTTACCCACTGTATTAATATCTCCGTTCGTTTCATACCAACTTGTAGGAATACGAAGTTCGTCGTAGATATTCTGAATTCGAATCACTACGCAGAGGTTTATCCAAATTATATCCAACAGTCATAATTCCGCCAATACCGGAAAAACATTCTATCGGTGATCTATCTTACCAAAGTGTTTTTGACGCAATATTTATGTAGTAGTGGGGGTTGGAAGGGTGGCGTACGATCTAGAAACATCTACCGAACTACATTGTTATTTCTATTTTGTAGCTGACTACGCGACCTTGCCAAGTAAAGCAAAAGAAGATTTAATCATAGAGAAGCGCAAGCGCATGTTACAGACCTTTCTCAATCGCGTTGCTACTCATCAACTACTAAAGAACGAACATGTGTTTCATAAATTTTTGGAAACGGGCATATCATGGGTAACTGTCGGCCGAGTGACGAATTTCGTTTTCTGAATCACTATCGTAACATTAACCTCTATTCCTTGTATTGTGCTAGAATGAAGTATTACACGCCCCGCCTCTTTCCAATCTTCCTAAAAATATTCTCCAAATATCTCCTGCTAATCTTCCGTCCACAAACCCAAATGCGTTGTCGTCTCAGCAACAAATATCACAACAGCCGCCTCTGCCAAACCCTAGTGCATCGCAGCAGTTGAAGAATCCTGATACGAGATTCATTGAATCCGAAATGTTTACGAACAAGTTTGCAAATCATCTAAGCCAAAACATGGAAAAGACAAACAGGAGAATTCTGAAGAGATTGGGAGGTGAGTAGTAGGACATGTGTGTGGTGGGATTTGGATGAAGAGGGCGGGCTTAAGAGAGAAGTTGGGATCTTGCTAGTTGCCCGTGACAGTTAATAGCCTTGATAGAATAACCGCGCGCTTATCTACTCGATAGATCTATCGAATGACTATGCTGAACTCGGTGCCACTTATAATACGTTCAGCTTGGATGAATCGGAAGATCTTGCAACGGCGATAGAGAAGATTGGGCAAGCTGTCGACTCTTGTTTTGTGGCTACGGGAAATTTGGTGAGTATTGAGAATTGGATATACTTCGTAAGGAGGCTGTTTATATAGTCTCTTCCTACATTTATTTGTTCTGTGTTTGTATAGAACATATAAACAATATTTGCAAACATTCATTTTTTGCTCAAACGTGACTTTACTCAACATTATTATTTTTATTCTGTTATCTCACAGATCACCTCTGTTGAAACAGATTTCTCAGAACCACTTCAGGAATATTCTCAGTTTGCTCAAATAATCAAACAAGTACTCAAATATCGTCACATGAAACATCTTCAGATGGAACTGACTACCGAAAGTCTGGAAAAACAAAAAACAGCTTTGGAAAATCTTGAACGCTCCGAACAAGAAGCCAAGCGTCTTGAAGCTGCTTTGAAGAACCATGGTGGAACCGAAGATTTAAATAGACCTCGGAGACTAAGTGCAGGCGATGCTGGACAGAGTAGAGACTCGGACGATAGCGAAAACAGAGGTGAATTTGAACGGGAGCATAATGGAATTAATAGTGGGGGCGGCAAACAGCTTAAGAAACGAAGAAGTACCCTGTTTTCTGTATTGAGCCATACTCTGCATGGAATCATGGATGTTGACCCCGAAGCTTCACGGAGAAGCAGTCTGGGAAAAACTCGGGAATCTATTATTCAGGTGAGTATTGTCTTGGTTGTCACTAGATCCTTAGCAATAGTTTTTTTTTACTCACCATTCTATTCCCCTATGAATAGCTTGAAGAGGCGCTTGTGACAACGACAAAAGATCTTAAAATTATATCTTCTGCAATTCAAGCCGACCTGGATAGATTTCAACGACAGAAAATTCATGATATGCGCGAGATGTTGCTTGCATATGCCAAGCATCATGTGAAATGGTGCGATACGGTATGTATAATGTTATTGTCGGTAGTTCGTTGATTTATGTAACATGTTTTAATTCTCGTGGTGTTACTTTTTATATTTTGTACTAGAACTTGGCCAGTTGGCAGGAAGCGAAAAGTGAAATTGAAAAGATTAAATAATTACGAACGTTGTAAAGTATTTTTTGTTTATTTATTGTTTTTTTGTCAATGATATGTCACGTATGCATGAGGCAAGTAAAATTGGTCGGAACGACAAATTAATAATAAAGGGTTTAACTTAATTGTAAAGGAAGAGAAATAGCTTCGCTCCGTCAACGGTCCATGTTTTGATATTGTGTTGATAGCTATTTATCGTAAGTTTATTGCCGAGCAAAAGTCTCTGTTTTCTAACCTCATCTTACGAGTGTGTTTCTATAAACCGTTCAAGCAGACTAGCATGCATGGGAAATTGCCGTAGCTCCTTTATTTCCTCCCATTTATTGTTGAGAACTTTATCACAAGAGAACAATTTACAAATATAGGCATTCTATTTCCTTGAGTAGATGCCTGTAAAGAGCTGATGACTTTCTGGAAATTCGATAAATCATATACTTTAATTTCGGTAGGTTTGAGAAACTAGCATCAGTAAACTATGCAATCAAATAATAAATAATTTTATAACTAGAGGTATTGCACGAGACTTTTCCTTATCGTTTTTTCAGGATGCCGTAACTAGATTTCTTTGCACAATGGAATAATCTATTCAATCGATCGCAGGCCCAATGTGCGCGTAGCTTTCTAGCTTCGCAGTACCGAAATAAAATTCTTGGCGTGACGTGATGCGTCCTTCATCTGGCAAGATATATAAATGTAATGACTTACTTATACTGTGTAGTGATGCCAAATATTAGAAAATGCTCTCCCGGAATTGTATTATGCTGCAGACTGATTTCATTCTCATGCTACCTATGAAACTGATAACATCGTATTGAAGGAACAGAGAAGGTGCAACTTAGCGACTAGTGAGGCTGAGTTCCGTTATAGTGTTTTGTTACTTCGCGTGTAAGTGATTTACCATTATTGTATAAAAACATACTGTATGTAAAATAAACAAGGCCTACTACAATAAAAGCTTATCAAATAAAAAAATCACTCGTTACTGAATAAACGACGAAACGATAACCTGGTTGATTTATCCACTATGGAACCAAAGAATTACAAACTCTCCAGGAATATTTAGACAAAGAAAAAATTACTTATGAAATTTATCAAGAGAGCGTAAAATAAAAGTCAATTAACACCAGCACATGATGAACCAAAAAAGAAACGAAAATTATAAGAAACAAATTTAATGTGAAAGCTTCCCACCAACATCTCCATTGATGGAGTGATTTGACAGAAAGATCGTTCCTTATTGATAAAGACTGCTCGACCATATTTCGCCACTTGACACAATTGCAATCAAACAGTCAAACATGTAAAAATAATTCAACTTTTCGTAAGCATAAATTTTATTATTTCGATTATTGAATGCGCGCTATTGAAAATATAATAATGCTATAAGCACCAGAGTGATTGCATGGGAGGAAAATACTCGGACGCAAAGCCATTAATGAGTATTACCTATTCTTTGGTCGCTCCGGCGCAAATTTTAAATTTCATTATCTTTTATACTGTCACTGTTATCTATTTCTTCATCTGAGCGGTTTACGTTTCCTTCTTTTCTTCGTCGATCCAACGTTGGATTGCTTCGATAGTAATTTTCCGTAGAGTTGCTCGTCGAAGGCAAAAATTTCTTATTGTTGATGCAGCGATGGTCTTTTGTTCATTCAAACTTGGAAATTTCAAACGCCTTTTTGTTAAATAAAAATTTTGGATCCAATTCAATTTTTTGTCGTATAATTGGATTAAGTCGTTCCACAACTTTTCGGTTTCTGGCGAGTAAATTTTGTTCGTCGCCGACAGTTTTGTAATGGATCGCAAATTCATTTGAATTAAAGTTCCCGTATTTTTAGGCCGACAATTACAAAGTGTGCCATTTAGCAACAGGCCGAGAGCGAAGTCAATAAATATTCCAACGAAAAATTCGCTTGTAAATATGAGCATTTTTCGTATTGCTGTTGGTGGAAATTGAGAGAATTGGTTTATTATTTTAAAAATATATTGTTTCAACGATATTTATTGCGTTGCTGATTTCTGAAGTAAGTTAACCAGTGCTGTTTTTATAATAAAATATCCTTTTATTCATTATACGCTACGGATGATCATTAGACAAACGCGAATTTCTGCGCATTGCTGCATACAGGGAAACAATAGTTACATTATGAAAAGGTCTATGAGCAAAGCGAAGGATTATTGCTGTCTACGCACTATGAAAAATTTCGATCACATGAATTTCTCTGTCCGGCTCGACCAACGATTGATGATGACGTTATTATCTCGTGTAAAATGAAATCAACCTCCCTATGTTGTATTTTATTGATTTAAATATCGCCGCAAGTCGAAATAAAGATAATTTTAAAAAATGTCAAAGCATTCATCTAAAACACAATCTCGACTGAGTATAGTAAAATTTGTGAACATGCTGGGCGACATCCGAACGTAAAGCATAGCGATATGGCAAATTATTTTAATGAGAAGTTTAATTTTACGATTGATCATTTGACTATTAGCAAACCAAACAATGTAGGCGTAGATGTTAGTGACTTGCAAGTATTAATACGGTCGACCCCCTCTAATATCCACTCCACCTCTCTCTATTAGCAACAGTGGTTACAGAACGGACCCCGTATTTAAATTCTCCCGCATATATCAATTTTTGATATCATCCCCCGTTGATATCCCTATCAACATACACTCACCGGACAAAAGTATCGAATCAAAATGTTGGTGTTACATCCATACCATAACACCACCTCCCCCATGTTTAACAGTTGAAATAAAGCAATCAACAGCGTATTTTTCTTTTGGCCGACGCCAGACTGTTTTATGAGCATCATTTTGAAATAGACAGAAACGAGATTCATCACTC